CAAGAGCCTCTCGCTGAGGCTCAAAGAGAAGAGCGCAAATGGTGGCTTGAAACTCACCATCAAAAAAATGAAGATCATGGCATCCAGCCCCATCAATCCTTGGCAAATAGAAGGGGAAGTCATGGAAGCAGTGACAGACTTTACGTTTCTAGGATCCAAGATCAGTGCAGACGGTGACTGCAGCCATGAAATTAAAAGAAGTGCTGGAGAAGACTCTTGAGAGTCCCTTGGACTGCAAGGAAACCGAATCAGTCAATCCTAAAAGAAATCAACCCTGACTGTTCCCAGGAAGGACAGATACTGAAGCTGAAGCTCAAATACTTTGGCCACCAAATGAGAAGGAAGCACTCACTGGAGAAGACCCTGATGCTGGTAAAGATTGAAGGAAAAAGAAGAAGGGGACGGCAAAGGATGATATGGTTAGACAGTGTTATCGATGCAATGAATGTGAAGAGTAAACTCCGGAGGATGACTGAAGACAGGAGGGCCTGGCGTGATGTGGTCCATGGGGTCGCGAAGAGTCGGACTCGACTGTGCAACTGAACAACAACAACAACAACAAATCAGTCAAAAGCAGTCCCAAATAAATCTATTGTGTACTAATGATTTCTGTCAGCTACTTACAGGTAGTTCAAACCTATTCAAAGTTATTGAAAACAGATGATTCCTCCAACATATAAATACAAATTCTTACCAAATGGCTCAGTTCTTCATAACGAGCATTGAAAGCTTCCAATTTTTCACTGATGATTTCATCAAGAATCCCTCCATCAATCAATGTTTGACCAAGTTCCCGAATCTGAGTTCGATTATCAGCTGGATGGCGCAGGACAGATTCCAGTGACTAATGAGAAGAAAGTTAAACCAAAGTTTGGGTGTTGATAGTCCAGCTATCATAATGTACTGTGACTGACATGTCATCCCAGCATTTTAGAACAAAACACAACATGTTCATCAGCAAAAGTTGAAGCACCTTACCACATTCTGCAGTTATTGTAACTGCCAATTAAACAAAAATGTTTACAAGGGATAGCACAAAAGATATCTCTATCAATAAAGCAAAACAGGGACCTTTTCTGCATGCTGGTGTTATTCCTGATTTTCTTGGGTGTCAATCCAGAAGCACTGGAATCAATTTAGACAGGGTTTTTCTGCATGTCTGCCCTCCCCATGCATGTTTACAGTTGTGAAGACAGTTTATTTTGTTCTGCATGTGGCTTAAATAATGAGAATTATCAAGGGTGGGTACTGTCATCATCAGTATTGTTATCAGTGGTGTCACAGCACACACACCCTTTTTTAAAAAAATGCCCCTAACATATCAATATAACACTATAATGTTGTACATTGAAGTGTAGCATAGTTCAAACAGGTACTCCAAATTCCCAGCTTTCATTTTTTTAAAAAAGTAAGTCTCTAGCTCTTTCACTCATGGAGCTTTACAGAAAAAGGTATATCTCCATGAGGGAATGGGTTAGAGACTTATATGTTGTAAAAAATAAATACTGGGATTTCATAGAACCTGCTTAAACTACCATTAGAGACTACAGTATTATATCAATATTTTAGGGCCTTTAAAAAAAAAAAAGTGAAATAACTGTCCCAGGGGAAGAGAGGGAGTGGTTTAACAATGATGACAGTCCTATCATTGAAAAGTGGGCTGCATGTGGGTGGAAGTGGGCAGGACAGAGAAAACCAATCGAAACACTACACCCTATGAAAAGCTGATTCAAAATCAGTTTCCAGAAAAACCTCATGGTAAAACCAGACTAAAAAATTGGGGGGGGGGGGGGAAGAGTGAAAACTAAAGGCACAAAAATGCATGAAAAAATCAGGAGATAAACCAAAGTGCTTTGGGGGCAGAACTGATTTAAAAAACCACCAGCAACAACTATGTCTCTTTGATGACAGCAATCTCAAACAAAGAGTGCTGCATTGGCACAATGTTTTTTTTAATCATTCCCTTAAATTGCTACATGCTATGAAGCTTCCAGGCAGCCACTAAGGAGAAATAAAGCTAATGTAAAGAAAGGGATTTCAATATGAGCAAACAGGAGCAGAACGAATAAGCATTTTCACTTACTTCTTTGCTGCTGAATATTTGACTCAGTCCTACAGAAAAGTTGTTAATCATTATAAAGGCTAAGATGAGCCATTTATTCATTATAGCCATGCTCTCTTTGAATATAGGAAAAGAATATTTGATCATCTTTTAAAAGAAGCCCATATAGATTTGCTATCTTTTCCCTGGGTACAGATTAACTTTATACATTGTCCACAGTACCTCTAAGGCCTCATTGACAGCATCTGCTTTATCTGGCAAGTTTTCTGTGCTTTTCATCCTATCGTCCAACGTATTCAGCCAAGCTGTTTCTAGGTCCAGATAGTGGAGTAACTCAATCCAGCATGACCATACTTCCTGAGGGTAAACAGTGTGGGAGGGACTTTATTACTTTTCGAAAATTCACATTCAATGTAGTGAGGCACTGCAAGTTAGTACTCAAAATAGTGCTCTTCATCAACTAGTGAAATCATCACTGACTACAACTGTCCAGTATTAGAAAATCCAACCGCATTATTACCCCCTCTTATCTGCGCCATTTTCTTTTCTCCATGCTCACTTTCCTTGGGACAGAGAAAGGGACTCAGCTGTCACTCTAATTTAGACATTCTCTACTCCATTCTTTACTCCAATGAATACCCAAAGTGGCTTACAAGAAATAAATTTTAAAAATGAAGATAAAAAACGAAGTACAATACAAATAGAACAAAGACAATAAAAACAACAATAAGTCACTCTAGCCTCTATATAAACCATCGTGTGAATCTCTCTTTTGGAAGAAAAGTCACTAAGTGCAGCCTGTGGAGATGTGATGGAAGGGAATGTCAAAAACATGGTAGATATAGACAAATCATATGAAAATTAATTTGAGAATTATTAATACTGAATGCTGACTTTCATGAACATTTCTTTTGCTTTGAAAGAGCATACTAGCATCTCTACTGTCCAATGCATCATAGAACTATGGTGCATTCTCTCTGATGTTAGACAAACTGGTATAAGTTTATTCTGCCCAGTACAGAGAGGTTATTACACAAATAGCATATTCAGGGAGTTCTTCTCAGAGGCAAATCCCATACTATTCAATGGGGGATACTCCCAGGAAATTATCCTTAGATTGCAACATAGGTTCTTGCCGTCTAAAAATCAGCATTAGGAGTCAACTTTAAAATTGTCAATGTAAACAAAAAAATTAAACTCCTGATTAATAGAAGTATTAAAAAACACTAATTGTATGCTTTGAATTTCAGTTGCCTTGCTTTGTGAATATGTACCAAATGCAGTTAATTGTTGGAAGCAGTTCATAAGAAAAAGCCTGGGAATAATCCTTTAGAACCAGAGTATTTCAAAATATGGGCATTATACAAGACACTTTTAATTCATGTTCTAAAGAAAAAGCACAACACTGAAGTCAAGTTTGTTTATGGGGAAAGAGCCTTTTACCTGTCTGTTTTACACAGGTTCATGATAGGATATGGATATGTGAAAGGGTACACTATGGGACATACCTCCAAAGTGTGGCATTTCCCCCGAATCCTATTGCAGAGAAGTTGGTAATTCTCCAGCACAAGGTTAAGTTCACTTGTTAAGTCTTGACCACCAGATGGCAGTTTAGCAGCTAGCATCTTGATATTGTCTTTCAGAATCTTCACCCGCACTTCTTTCTGCAGCACATCCTCTTTTGCTCTCTGATTAAAGAAAGCAAATGCTGACCAAACTGAACCTCACTCAAGGGTGTTATGGCTGTCACACAGAAAGTAAGTCTCCACAACTAATTAAATTACTCTGATAAAACGCGAACTATTATTTCCAATTTTATTATAATAAAAGTGACCATCAAGGGAGCTCACAGGTTCTATAAAATCCCACTGGAGCTCTATTACATTCCTCATACATTTGTATCTTTGGTTGCAATAATCTAACATTAAGGTAGAAGAAATACTGCTGAGCAAAGAGCATGCCAAGGGCTGAGAAGAAAAAACAGCAGCAGCCTGAGCCACTCAGAATCATCAAATTTCACAAAACTTGTAACCTTGATCCACTTTCTCCTTCCCCTTTTTACACTGGTATCTTTATCCTTTCCTCCAAGCAGCTCAAGAATGCACAGCATGATTACCATATTTTACTCACATAACCACCCCAAATTACCCTGAGCAACTATCTGCTTAAGACCATCAAGTAACGTTTACTGCCATGTAAGCACTTGAACCCAAGTCTTTCCAGGCAAGGACACCAGTTCCTATCCTGTACTAATTCTAGACACTGATGCTCCACCCACAGCCGCCAGCTTAATGGAGGTCCCAGGAGGCCCACAAGCCACTCTGTTTGGAAGCTCCCATTAAATTGCAGGGGGATGCTGCTCTCTATTGGGGGAGAGCCACGTATGGAAGCAGCCCAAGAAATCCAGAGCTGGCCATACTTCCCAGCATACATGGACAATCTGTGATTTCTCTTTAAATGTGTCAATTAATGAATATGTACTAAAAGATAAAAGGTAACGGGGTTCTGTGCGCCTTGGTGCTTAGTCATGCCGGCCACACGACCAAGGAAATGTCTTCAGACAGCGCTGGCTCTTCAGCTTGGAAACAGAGATGAGCACCGTAACCCTAGAGTTGGATTCGACTGGCTTTCGAGCAAGGGAACCTTTACCTTTTTTACTAAAAGATTACTGTAAGTATAGTGACAAAAATATAAAAAGTTCATGTTTTTATATTCATAATGTTGTAAATCAAATTAAATGAAAAGTGCATTAAGTCAGCTCTTACAGCTTATGCTTCATTTCCAGTTTTCTCATAAAACAACCTTAAATATGGAAAAATTAAGTCAGCGAACAAGCATAAGTGGAAGCAAATGAGAATGTCAGCTGTAACAAACAGAACAGTTATATAATCATTACAGTAGGCTATGCCCCTGTTGTAATTTTTTTCAGAGTAACTTGGCTACTTCAGTATTGGCCATATCTTTCTAATTTACCTGAAATCCATGCTGAGCCAACATGTAGCAAGATGGGCCATAGGCAGGTAGGTATATAACTCGGCTTATGCAAGCTTCTCCTAAACACTATGCCATAGGCTGAACCAACAGACCAAGCTAGGCAAATGGTATCGTCAGCATATATATTTGCATCCTGCTCCCAAAGTGCAATTATAACACTTTATAATTCAAGTTCTATTTCTTCCTAGTACCAAAAGTTTAGACATGGCTCCACATACATGCTTGCTTATCTAACTACAACACGTTAGAGAAGAGCATTATCTTTAAAGCCTAACAATTTCGTCCCCTCGTATTCACTCAGTTTCCAAAGATGGGTAGCCTATTTGAATTTTTTTTACATTTTAAGCTAATGTTTTAAAAGCATGTTCTAGAAACCCACAACTACTTAATAAAAAGTTATGCCTTGATTAATAATGAATAGTATAAACTCAAGCTTAGTGACTCAAAAAACTTAATAAAGCCAAGCTTTTCTATTATTTCTTACCTTCATTTCCTCTACTGCATTTTCCAGCTCATCTGGAGTCTTGTATTCAAAATCTCTCTCCAAATATTCCTCTTCAGCTTGAGCCAGCCATTCTTGCATCTCTGCCAAATCTTTCTTTAGGTTTACAGCTTTTTCCTGACTCTCCGATAACTGATTTTTCTGACTAATGATCTAGCAAGTCAACAAAAGACAGACCAGTGGACATTACTATTAAAAATTGTTTGCATCATTGCAAGTAGGCCTTAAGAAAGACTCAAATGAGGGGAAATATAAAACATCAGAGCACTGAAACTTTTAGCAGCTGAATTTTCAGATGGCATTTTCTTCTTAAAAGATGGATGGAATTATCAAACATTAATTAGAAAGTGATGTTTTTCTACTATTGTAAACCAAAATCTTATCGCTGCTTGTTGAGGAAGATGTACTTGAAGGCTATTTTAGCTATTTTCAGACACGTATTATAGTTTCAAGTACAAACAAATTCATTGTTGTAAATCATCACAGTGTGAAAACAACCATCCCATTGTATGGTGATGACCACATTGATTCTTGTTCCAGGTATTTAGGCCCAAGAAAAAAAGAAGAACTACTGTTTAACAAATGTTTACAAAGATCAACATACCCATCACAAACACTGACAAGAGTTCTAATTTAATCTGGAGAAGCCACTGGTTAAAAGACCTGAATTTTGAAGGACAACATTTAAGGGAATGAAGGAAGAGAAACATTCATATGAGGGAGGGGAGGGGAGGGGAGGAGAGGAGAGGAGATTGGATTTATACCCCGCCCTTCACTACCCGAACGAGACTCAGAGCAGCTCCCTTTCCTTTCTCCTCCTCACAACAGACACCCTGTGAGGTAAGTGGGGCTGAGAGAGCTCTCTCAAGAACTGCCCTTGAGAGAACAGCTCTGAAAGAACTCATGATTGACCCAAGGTCACACCAGCAGCTGCATGTGAAAGAGTGGGGAATCAAACCCGGTTCTCCAGATTAGAGTCCACACTTTTAACCACTACACCCAGGCCTCAGATGGGGCCGGAGCTCCCCGGTACTACGCTCCGGCAGTGAGGTGCTGGGGGGCGGGCACATGTCAAAGCCCCGCCCCTGCTGCCAGCCACCCTCTGCTTCCCACTTCATTTAATCGCAAGAGGCGGCAGAAGCAGTAAGGTGAGTAGGCTTCCTCCCCCACCCATCCCTCCTTGCTTTCTCTCCCCCCCTTCCCCCCCCGCCTGGGGCCACTCCACATGGCCCAGGCAAGCCCTCCCAGCCCCATCATCCATCTTCCCGGAGCCAGGTGCTCCAGGAAAGATATCCCCCTCCCAGTTCCTGCCTGCCTTGGGCTGCTCAGCGCAGCCCAGGCAAAGACCCACCCCCATCCTAAGCTTTCCCGGAGCCACGCGCGCCGGGAAAGATCTCTCCCCCCCGTCCCTGTCTGCCGACCCCCCCCCCCCTTCCCGGCGCGCGCCACGACAGGAGTATTTCAAGGGCACATTAGCGGATCAGCCTACAGCTGCTGCTGCTGTAGCATCCTGGGAGCTGACAGTCCACTGATGCTCAAAGGTCCCATATCCCAGACATTTTCCTTCACAACAACCACAAACAAACAAACAAAAAGTCCTTGGAAAACACCTCCCCCCGCAAATCTCCTGCAATACTGCATGGAGCGAGAGGGTGACCGTTTTTGGAAAGCTTTCAGTAAGCATAGCCTCGCTTTTGAACTCTTCCCGATTCAAGCCAGAAAATTTACACTTCGGGGGCTATTTGAAATGTGTTTTGTGCCGTGGCCAAAGGGCTTCGACCAACAGCCCACATGGGTGGCAGAGCTTGTTTTCCTAGAAAACAATAAAGTCTCAGAGAAAACTGGGGATTTTTTTTTTCCCTCGGGTGAATTTCAAGTACCTCCATCGCGAACGTGGCAGCTCTCAAATCCCCCCCCCTTTTTTTACAGGAAATGCAGGAGCAACCGGAGAGCTCAGCTGGAGCTGCAGCTTCCCCGCCTCCTCCTCCTCCTCCCCCTCCCGCGAGCAGTGGCTTTTAATTTTCAAACGCGCTGCAATTGCTTGGTGTGGTTTCAAGCACAGGGTTGCCATCCTCCCTGCTGATGACTTGAAGTTCTGAAGATTTGTATGTTTTGGGGCTCTGAAGCAACACATGCTACCAGAAACACACTTGACAAAGTGGCTGCATTCTATAGAGTGTACAAAAATATGACACCCCCCCACAAATAAATTACTTGACCAATTATTCCAGCAGACCCCATCAAAGTGGTGTGATCACAACAATGCCTGTCCATTTAATGCACAGCAAGTGTACTACTAAGAAAGCAATCCTGTTCAGAGTTACTCCATTAAAATTACTGGGCTTAGACTGGAGTTACTCTGCAAAGGACTGCCCTGCTAGTTCACCAAGTATCAGCAGATATGACGTTTCTACCTTAAAGTCAGATTAGACTCCCAGGGTGCCCCTTTTGAGGATCTGGATTATGCAAGAACATGCCTAAAGGAAGATGTGATTTTGTCAAGGGATTACCCTCCCTCTATCATGTAACAGCCTCCCCTTCTCCTCTGTGACCCCACCCCCACCCCACATAGACATGCCCATCCTCTGCATTTTTGTCTTAATTCAGGAAAGATGCCTCCAGAGCAAACTAATTTACGCAGTAGCCAAATTGCTCACTCATAGCTTTAATGCCAGTCGCTCACAAAGGAGCATCCCGGGATGTGATATCAGAGTCATGTGACAGGAAGAGGGGGAGCTGGACCATAACCAACAGACCGAAAGGGCCAAAGACAAGAAACAAAAAACAGTCATCAAGAGGTTTATTTTAGTGATAAATGAAACAACAGTTGGCACCCTGGAGGATTCCTCTTTGCTGCTGGCGTGACGTCACCCTACCATCCTGCTCTTCTGGGTTGAAGACCACAACTCTAGATCATTGGGTTTTGTTTAGGCAAAAATTAGCGAATGTGATTTTGCTGTTGTTCTGGATTCAGACTTGTCAACATTATTTATTTAAAAATGGATAACCTGCTTTTTCTCTCTAAAACTGACCTTGTTGTGGCTGACAAAAATAACACTAAATAGCAGTGAACTATAACAGGGAGGAAGGCTGCCAGTCAAACAGAAAAGGAACACTAAATCACCTCAGCCATCAATGCCAAGGAGAATAAAAATATATTGACCTGGTATCCTGGTATCCTCCCTCTTTACCTGACATGGGTGGTTTGCTTGTTTTCCCCCACGTGTGCCATCAGATAGGCTCGCCAGCTCTGAGTTGGGGCTTCCTTGGGAGGTTTTTTGGGTGGAGCCTGAGTGGTGGGTGTGGCCTTATGACACACTTCCGGTGATGTCAGGGGGTGTGGCATATGCTAATGAGTTATGCTAATGAGCTCCGGCAGCTCTTTTTCTACAAAAAGACCCCTGACTACACCGAACTTTCAGTCTATAAAGGCATTATACAAACTTGGGCAGAGTTGTATGAAAAGGCAGATCAGATCATCTTCAGCTAACAAATGCAACAAATGTTCATTTTACCTCTTGCACTCCAGTTACACACTTGATAGAGGATATGTCTACATAGATATTATAAACAAAAATAATTTATGCAAATATCTGGTCTTCAGGTGTTTAATTGGCAGTGTACATTAAGAAGGGAACAGAATACAAGAGAGTTTACAACATATATGCTACCTAACATTTAAAGCATTATCCTTCTAATGAAGCCACACTGAAATAATATATTATGCAATACTATTATGTATACAACATTTGCCTTCAAGACTTCAGAAATGTCTCTTATATGCATTCTACTATTCTATATTACACAACTGAAAAATGTCTGAAGCACATTGGTCAGTATTCCCCACCACCACCAGTGAAGATGAAGACTGAGGTGGAAAAGGAGTGAGTCACATAAATCCACCTTGCCCCTCAACCAAAGCTTACAATTTCAGCTACAGTGCTGCATCAGTAGTTTAAATTGGCTTATTATTTTCAGGTGGATTTTTTTGGTCTTATTGTAAGATTATTGCAGAAGTCGAAAGTTCCTTTTGCGATCGCTATATCACTACCAAACTTTATCCATGTTACGTGCACAATAAATCTACTACTATGAATACCGACTGACAATCTAGATAACGCATAAAACAAAAAAGAAATACAACCAATAACGAACCTGTTTGCTCAATTTTTCCCACAGCACTTGGATATCTGTCAGCTTAGAATTCACCGAAGCATGTACAGGCTGGCTTCTTAAACTGGACTCTATCTCTTTCATTCCTTTTAGAGACAGCTCCGTCTTTTCCATTTCAGTAACAAGCAGCTGAACAGAGGGAGAAAAAAAATGTTTACAATAATTTTCTTTCAGCATGCAAGCTTATTTACTGCCTATTTTTGTTTATTTACTACATATATCCTGCCCATCCTCCAAGAAGCTCAAGGCAGCATACATCCTATCACCTGCTCTATTTTACTCTCACAATAACTCTGTGAGGTAGGCTAGACTGAGTGTGACTGTGACTGACTCAAGGCCACTCAGCAAGCTTTACGGCAGAGTTGGGATCTACACCTCCCAGATTCCAGAGCCATCCTGTGGCTGCCAATGCCATTGTAGAAGCAACTGTCATTCTCTAAAAATGGCTGTTAGGCCCCTATCCAGATAGTGTGTGTGGCCCAGTGGCCCAGGAACTCTTGTTCCCTGCCCCCCAATCCCTTGGCAGTTTCAGCCCTTGAAAAGGTGTGGGGGAGATTAAAAAGAGCTCCTGGAGCCACCATGCCACATGTCAGCAGTCATGGGATAAGAGGACAAGTCCTTGTGTGGATTAAAAGCTGGTTAATTAACAGGAAACAGAGAGTGAGTATAAATGGGCAGTTTTCATAGTGGAAGGTAGTAAGCACTGGGGTACTGCAGGGCTCAGTACTAGGTCCAGTGCTTTTTAACGTGTTCTTTTATGATTTGGAGTTGGGAGTAAGCAGTGACGTGGATAAGTTTGTGGATAACACCAAGTTGTTCAGAGCAGTGAGAACCAGGGAGGACTGTGAGGCACTCCAGAGGGATCTGTCAAGGCTAGGCAAGTCAGCATCAATGAGGCAAATGAGGCTCAACATGGGCAAGGGCAAAGTAATGCACATTGGAGCCAAAAACCATAACTATAAATATAGGGTGATGAGGTCTAAACTGGTGGTAACTGACCAGGAGAGAGATCTTAGTGCCATGGTAGATAACTCACTGCAAATGTCGACTCCGTGTGTGACCGCAATAAAAAAAGGCAAATGCTATGCTGGAGATTAGAAGGCAACTGAAAACAAATCAGATAGTATCATACTGCTCCTGTATAAATTTATGGTGCAGCCTCATTTGGGATACTGTGTACAGTTCTGGTCACTGCACCTCAAAAAAGATATTACAGCACGGGAAAAGGTACAAAAAATGGCTACTAAAATGGTTGAGGGGATGGAACCACCTTCCCTATGAAGAAAGGGCTCATTAGCATGGAGGAATGACAACTGAGGGGTGACACAATAAGAGGTTTACAAAATTATACATGGGATAGAGAAGGTACAGAAAGAAGTACTTTTCTCTCTTTCTCACAATACAAGAACTCATGGGCACTCAGTGAAATTAATGATCAGTAAAGGAAGTACTCCTTCACCCAAACGGAAATTAACATGTAGAATATTAGCCACAAGATATATATGGAACACTATGTCTGGGGCAGTGATGCTCTGTATTCTTGGTGTTTGAGGGGCAACACTTGGAATGGCTTCTGGAGTTCTGGCCCCACTGATGGACCCCCTGATGGCATCTGGGTAAAATTTCAGCCTCTGTGTGACACAGAGTGTTGAACTAGATGGACCATTGGCCTCATGCAACATGGCTTCTCTTATGTTCTTATATCTGATCCAGATCGGAGACTTGTGATAATTGTTTAAAAACTACAAATTATTTTAAAATGGTGGCAGGCACCACCATCGCATTTAGTTTTGCTCCCAGTCTCACACATGAACCACTACACCAAGCTGGCTCTCTTTTTCAAAGGCATTACACAATTTTTTTTTAATTCTTGCTACATATAATTCTACAATACTTATTTTATGTATATTTTATTAATCAACACATATGATAACATGCTTTTAGTATCCAGCAATGGCTTTAATCCATAAAGCTTCTTTGGGGTATGTCTGGGGGCAAAGACACATATAGAAGAATGTCTATTTTTCCAGATTTGAACAGCAAACTTCCTACATTACTGTCCTGATGCAAATAGTATACAATTTCTTGAATCGCAAAGTTCGTTTGTCGTGTGGTATATTCAACTACTGGAGTCATCTTTACAGCTCTATAGATTTGGGGCAACATCTGCTTCAGGAAAGATCTCATAGGAAAGCCCCCAAAGTCCAGTGCCACATTTATTCTAGTTTCATCTTTGTGTTACAAATTACAAAGGAATGCTTTCAGTCATCTGTAAGAACCTCACACAACATACCAGTTACTGTTTAGGATTTAAAGACCTGAACAGCCACTTTTGCATCTTAATCAAAACAGCAGAAACCTATACCACAAAAGTAAAACTCAACTATAATATCCGTCGAAACATCAGCAACCTATACTTTGAAAGGGACTTTCCAGAACAGTTTGTGATATAGTTTGGGGTTTCTACTATCAAAATTAAAGTGTCACTAAAGTAGCTCTTCAGATCCCAGCTATAATAGCTTCAGTTGGATATTATATCAGTAACAATACCCTACATTTTAGATACATCATCAAATTTTTAAAAATTATCTAGATTTCTCTTTTGAACAAACTGACAGTAATTTTAATAATCCTAGCCTCGTCACACTCTATTATACATGCAAAGACCCATACCCATCTATATATAGATATAAAAGAAAGTCCCCTCACCGTAAAATCAACGCCCAGGCCAAAACCTTGGACCTAGAAACATGAAATTTGGGGAGAGCACTCCTACCATGATATAGATGCTCACTAAGAAGGGATTTTTAGAAATTCGACCCCTACAGGGGTCAAAAGGAGTAAAATGTGCTCCCCCCATTGCTTCTTATGTGGCTGCCAGACTGCTGCCTCCTTGCACCCCCCACTCTCTGATTGGTCAGCTGCAGAGCTCAGTGTTCTGAGGTTTTAAAAAGTTACAGGAGACTGCAGATAGCTAATAACAGTTGAGGAAATCAGGAGTTCCCAACAACCACCTGTGAGGTACAGCAGTGCTGCTGGCCCAGCCTCCCAGATGGCTTCCAACTCACTCCCCCCACCTCCTATACCTGACAGGCAGCTGTCAGGTGCAGCTGCAGATATAGGATGCTTAAAGCCATCAGAGAGCCTGCCCAAGCAGTAATGCCTTAGTGATCCTACCAGCCCAGCCTCCACAGTGGCTTCTAATACTCCTCCCCCCTCCCCCTCCAACACTGCCTGTCAGGTGTAGGAGAGGAGGTGGGATGCTTACAACCATTGGGGAGGTTTGCTCAGCAGGATTGCCTTAGTACTGCTGCTGCCCCAGCCCCCCAGATGCCTTTAAAAACAATCCCCCCCAACACCAGACAGGCGGGTGTCTCTCAGGTGTAGGAGCAGAGCCAGGGTACTTTAATCCATCAGGGGTGCCACCCCAGCAGGATTACTTTAGCAATGCTCTTGGTCTAGCCTCACCAATGGCTTTGGCCACACTCCCACCCACTAAGGAAATGCACCCCAAATTTGTAGAAAAGTGGTTTCCTTTATTAGGTTATTTAACTTCTTACCATGTGGGTTCTAGAAAATTGGTTCATATGAACTTGCTTAATATCTGCTTGCTCGGATAGTGTTTTGAATATGTAGTTCTGTCCCACTTCTTAAATGTAACATAAATGAGAAGCATTAAAGGGGGGTATCCCCTCCCCCAAATTCAATGCCCAGGACAAGAAACCCAATGCCCTGCACCAAGAAACCCAAAATAAGGAGAGTGCATTCCTACCATGACACCAACCCCCCCATGATTTCTGAGAAACATAACCCCTAAGGGGGTAAAAAAGGGGCAAAATGTCTTCCCCGAATTGTTTTCCATGTGCCTGGCAGGCTGCTGCCTCCCCCCCCCCTGGATTGGTCATGAGGACAGTTACAGAAATCAGCTAAAGACTCATGAATAGACATTTTTCAAAAAAGCCAGCATGGCAATTGAGTTAATGAATGTTCATGGGGACATAGTAAAGGACATTTCTAGGAGCCATTTCGATGCGTGCCTCCCTCATGAACCTGAAGAAATGTCCACCACATCACCAGTCCCTCACACCAACTCCCCCTCACACCTCTCACCTCTTACTGCCCCCAAGAAAGCCCCTGGTAAACCTTGAACCAGATACAAAAATGCTACAAGGAGTAGGCAACTTAGGAATGTGGCAAAGACATTTGCACATAGTACACCTGAGGGGCTCAAGTGGTTAAGACGCTGAACTGCAGGCTGTGGAAGGTCAGTAGTTCAGCAGTTCGAGCCCCGGGTGCCGCATGATGGAGTGAGCTCCCATCTCTAGTTCCAGCTCCTGCCAACCTAGCAGTTCGAAAGCAAGAAATTGCAAGTAGATAAATAGGTACCACTTCGGTGGGAAGGTAACAGCGTTCCATGCGCCTTGGTGTTTAGTCATGCCAGCCACATGACCACGGAAACGTCTTTGGACAGCGCTGGCTCTTCGGCTTTGAAACGGAGATGAGCACCGCAACCCTAGAGTCGGATTCGACTGGCTTTCGAGCAAGGGAACCTTTACCTTTACCTTTACTTACACCTTAGGAGCACTGAGCTGCGCAGGCCAAGTACAAGCAAGATCACCCTGAGGTGCTCAGAACAACACAGTATCCATATGAGCAATAAATCCAGGAACACTAGAAGAGAGGCCATCACTTTCGTGGAAGGTGGCAGGAGTTGACTTAACAGACAACTGCCTCTTAAATGGACAGTTCTATGTAGCCTGCTCCAGAGTAAGCTCACCAAGCAGCCTGGTGATCCTAGCACCTGAGGGCAGACCCACCAATATTGTCTACAGAGAGATCCTTCAGTAGAGAGGGAGGAAAGTACATAAGTCTCACTTCATTTTTTACACTACAATCTTCTCCATTAGAATTCCTGCAACAAACGTTACATTTCAAACTTCAAATCATCAGTATTATAACTGGATTTACGGAACTTAAATACTGTAGCAAAGCACGGGTATCAGGCTAGTACTAGATATAGTCTTATTTACATTCTTAAAGTAGTTCAACAGGCCTTATGTATTTTGAAAAATTACCTTTTGAACAAAATGTCACTAAAGTAAAACCTCCTAGCATTTTGAATTAATGCCAAACGTATCAAATAAATTCTGCAATTCGTACACAGCTGGGGTAAAATTTAAATAATTTCAAGGTCATTCTGAAGGGTATGTAAACAAAGTGTTCAGGATTGCAGCATGCCCCCTTCTCTGTAAGAACTCTACATTTATAACATGGGACAGTACCCACATTGTATCAACGAGCTATCTGAGAAACCTGTCAAGAATTTTTGAAGCAAGGTTCAAAAGCCACACTTCATTGTTAAAAAGAATATAAACATACCTTACCTACCATTTTCCTTTGTTGACTACAAGAAGAAAGCTTTATAGGATGGTCTACATGCAATGCTTACAAAGAGACCCAGAATACCAAATGATGAATAAGCAACACTACAGATTATCGGAAGAATTTACCATGCATTGATCCAGCTGCCTTTGAAGTCCTTCAGGATCCCTTTGGATGTTCTGCTCTTTCATTAAGAAGTCTTTTACACTATCCAGCCACTTTTGAACCAGTTTTGAATCAGTCTGAAATTAAGTAAAGTTAAGAAATATTAAGAACTGTGATGAATGACCTAGAGAAAAATAATATTTGGTAACATGGAAAAAAGTAGTAATTACACTGTTTGAAGCCATTTTCTTTGAACTTTTAAAAATCCAACCATAGACTCAAAGAACCAAACTTTTGAGAGATTATGGCTAGAGGGATGGAAATTCAAGTCATTGGAAGGCTTATGACTTTCAGTCTTATTTTGCTGTCTCTGTAATGCCTTCTTGCTCATATTTTATCATACCATGTATTTTATAGATATGCCATTAAAGGTATTTGATTTGATTTGATTAATATAATTAAATTTATCCTTTGCATGAAACAAAACAAATACTTTTTTGCAAGAACAAATTATACCAAGAATATACAGAAGTGATTTTCTGAAGAGGAATCATTCCCATCAATAGGAGCAATGGAGCCAAAATTGAAATCCAAGCACCAACAAATCATCAAGCAAGCTTTTTTTTTTTACTCTTAGATCCCACAAACACAGAGACCAATCCACAGCAATCAGTATATGCTGCCCCAGTATGACCAACCCCCATAACAGTAATGACACCTTTTGAAAATCACTTCCACAATAATAAACATTACAATCTGCTGCATCACAAAAACATCAGGATAGAAAGACAATATACCATCAATTTAGGTGTTTAAATAAATAATTTTAAAATAAATCTAGATCATTAAATACTTGCCTCAAATACTCTTAGCTTGGAAGTAGTTTCTTCCAGCAAGTGAACATCTTTAGAAACCTTCATTTTCAACTTGTCCCTGCACCCCTGCAAACATTTTAATTCTTGCTTGTAGATCTTTGATTTATCAGCAGAAATACTTTTCTCCAAGACCTGTGTGTCTGCAACAAGTCTATCTATAATAGTTTTCTGATTTTCTAGAGTCTCATCAACTGCCTGTTGAGAAAGCACCACAACAATACTTTTAAAAATTGCACAAGAAATGGGAACTGTATGATCAATATAATGGTATAGTGCCTTTGTACATACCACAAACCATCAAAAGAATTATTGATGAAGGAATTGGTCTCTGCATCAGCCCAGTGTGTTGCCCCTTACCAAAGTGAGATGGGACTTTAATAGGAATGAATCAACACAAAATTTAGGGGTTGGATATTTCATATTTGAAGTACACAAACATCCAAGGCTTCTCCTCCACCCCCTCTTACATATCTGCGTGTTCCCACTGCAGACCAGCTCAAAAATAGGACAATTATATGATAAACTGAGGGGAAAAATATTGGTAGAAAGACAATATGCCATCCAAATATGCCATCCAGATATGGAAGCTACCTGTGGCATGGAAAGATTTCAAGTTAGACAAAAGGACATACAGAAAGGCATCTGGACACACGGGCAGGGTGTTCAATGTGCCAAGTGAGAGAAGCCTGTGTGTAAGATGCACAAGTGGCTTGTAAGTCTTCTTTTATCTGACTGAAGCAAGAATCATTACACATAGAAACACTGGGAAAAGAGAACAGAAACAGAACATGGTAACTGATTGTCTGACTGTCCTATCCCTCTTGCCTCACAAAAAACAAACAAAACACAGCTACTGATAGTTTGGAATGTGCAAAAAAAAACCCAGTATTTTTCAGGTTCAGGTATATTTTCGGGATTTTTGGGGCTCAGCAGCGTCAGATAGCCAGATAAATACCCCAGCTGATATCCATCTGAAAAAAAATACCCAAAAAATACTGGTAAGGTATTTGAGTGGTGGTGGCTTTGTTTATACCGAGTGCACACCCCTACTGACAGTTGTGCCAGGAAACTAAGCTTACTCCTTCAGGACGCTTCCGCCACCAAAGATCATGGGCACTGAGTGTGTCAGTCTGGTGTGGGAGGCCAGGGAGAATGTGGTGATTTGGCTGGTGTACAGACCACCTAACGCACAAGCTAATAGCCTACCGTCCCTGACGGGGGCCGTATCAGGCTGGGCACTGGAACACCCTAGACTGATAGTCCTGAGTGATTTCAATGTCCATGCTGATGACGCGGCCTCTATTCGGGCAATGGACTTGGTGTCGTCCATGGCGGCACTAGGACTCTCCCAATATGTAATGAACCCCACTCACCAAGCTGGGCACACGTTTGATTTGATTTTCGCGGCAGGGGTAACAGTTGACCAAGTTACTGCTTTGGCAGTCCCATGGCTGGACCACCATGCCCTGAGGGCCCGCCTGAATGTTCCACCCCACCCCTATTTAGGCGGTAAGCATATTTTAGCTCGCCTGCGGAGCCTGACGGACGCAGTGCGGCTCCAGATGGCTTTATGGGATCCGATGCCCCCTGGTGGCTTGTTGGATGAGCTTGTAGAGGACTGGCATAGCCAGCTCTCTGCAGCCATTGATGAGATCGCTCCCCGGCGCCCTCTGCGCTCTCGCTCTAGGCTTTCACCCTGGTTTACCCAGGAGCTGCAGCTTATGAAGCTAGAGCTGAGACGGCTAGAGAGATGGTGGAGCCATTCTCATGACCAAGCTACAAGAACATCTTATAGGACATTTATGAGATCCTATGAGATGACAGTCAAAGCCGTGAAGGGACAGTACTACGCAGCTACAATTGTATCCGCGAGCTCACACCCAGCCCAACTGTTTAGAACGATTTGGTCTATAACAGCTCTACCAAAGGGCAGACCAAATGTTAGGGAATTGGACATTGGCTGCGAGACATTTCTGAGCTATTTCGTGGATAAAGTCTTGGAGCAGCAGTCCAGGAGGCACCCGCTGGAGTGTGGAGTGCCTCAAGGGGCAGTGCTCTCACCGATGCTGTTTAACATCTATATGCGCCCCCTTGCCCAGATAGCCCAGAGGTATGGGCTGGGATGTCACCAGTATGCTGATGACACCCAGCTTTATCTGATGTTGGATGGCCAGTCAAACTCCAGTACTAAAGATCTGGACCGGGCATTACAGCCTGTGGCTGGTTGGCTCAGATTGAGTGGGCTGAAACGAAATCCGGCGAAGAGGTCTTGTGTGTGGGTCGGGGCGGTTCACGGGTGGTTATCCCACTCCCGACATTCGGTGGGGCACTATTGGTGCCAGCACCGGAGGTTAGGAGTCTGGGAGTGCTCCTGGACTCCTCCTTAACAATGGAGGCCTAGGTAGCAGCCACTGCTAAGTCGGCCTTTTACCATCTTCAACCGCAACGACCTGGCCACAGTGATCCACGCGATGATCACCTCGAGACTAGACTACTGTAACACTCTCTATATGGGGCTGCCCTTGTTGCAAATTCGGAAGCTGCAGCTAGTACAGAACGCTGCGGCCAGGCTGTTGATGGGCCTACCTAGATGGGAGCACATCCAGCCTGTGCTGAAGGCACTGCACTGGCTGCCAATAGCATACCGAATTCGCTTCAAGGTGCTGGTGCTTACCTTTACAGCCCTATATGGCCAGGGTCCGACATACCTGAGGGACCACCTTTCCCCACGTATACCCCAGAGAGCACTGCAGTCAGGGTCACAGAACCAATTGACCCTCCTGGGCCCCAAGGATGCCAGGCTCACTACGACCACGGCCAGGGCCTTTTCAGTGGCAGCTCCTTACTGGTGGAATGAGCTCCCAGAAGAGATCAGGGCCCTGTGGGATCTTTTACAGTTCCACAGGGCCAGCAAGACGGAGCTCTTCCACCAGGCTTTCAACTAAGGAGCCACCCTCACTATTACCATCAACGAGCCCAGCCCTCAGCCTTAACATCTAGCTTATTCCATCGAGCGACTCAGGAAGACCACTGAGCTAGAACTGTCAGCTTGTAAACATCTTTAGTACGCCACCATAAGCAATGAATTGAATGATCGCTAGCACCTCATGGTTTTATAAGTTTCATCTGTATTGCATTGTTTTAAAATGATTTTATATGGTTTTATTGGTATTTTGTGCCAATGTTGTAAGCTGCCCTGAGCCCGCTCATGGGAAGGGCGGGATATAAATTGAATTAATAAATAATAAATAATAAACTAAACATACGGAGCAGAGGTCCATCAGTGGCTATTAGCCACAAGGTATACATAGGAACTCTCAGTCTGGGGAAAGTGATGCACTGTATTCTTGGTGCAACAGTGGGAGGGCTTCTAGTGTCCTGGCCCCACTGCTGGACTTCCTGATGGCACCTGGTATTTTTGGCCACTGTGTGACAGAGTGTTGGACTGGATGGGCCATTGGCCTGATCGAACACTGGCTTCTCTTATGTTCTTATGTTTTTAAAATGGCAAACCCAATTATTAATCTAGTAAATTTTTGGCCCTGGACTGGTCCAGTTACAGCCGCTATCTTTAAACAAAATGGATTTCAAACCCTGATTCTGTGTAGTTTGCCATTAGATATTGTGACTTTTGCTGAGACTGCTACAATATAGCCCCAAGTGATTGTTGTGCAGTCCATGAGGAACATCTAACCTCAAGTAACTGTAAACAGTGGAAAGCCACCTCTTACTATTGAGAGAAAACTTTCAATCAGAGGGGCAACTTGTCTAAAGCTTGTCCAAATAGATTTTTAGTCAATGGGCCCCATAGGCTATAATGGAGAATCAATCTGGGGATATCTGTGGCTTGGGGGGGGGGCTGTTTTTTGCGGTAGGGGGCCCCAATTTTTCTCCCCCCAAGTTTCAAAAAGATTAGACCAGGAGGTCCAATTCTATGGGCCCCAGAAGGAGGTGCCCCATCCTCCATTATTTCCAATGGTGGGGGAAAATGCCTTGTGACCTGAAGCAGAAATCCCTGCGCTGCCTGTTACAATTTTGTGCGCCAGCACCCTGTAGCACAGCTTAGAGGGAACTATGTGCCTAGTAGGTCCTTTACTGGGGACTGTTTTAGAACTATTCTGTAGACTCATGTTTTATTTGCCTATGTATGGCCTGTTTAACTGTTTATATAGATCATAGTCCATATTATTTTTGTAGCCATCTACAATCTTTCTGATGTTTTTATATCCATGCCATTTTCATATATGCCCATGTATCATGCATGAGATTCAATTTGCCTTTGTAGGAGCAGTAATGCCTTTCAATAAACTTCTTAATTCATATCACTAATACTTTTGAGTCTGCATATTCCTACTGACAGTTGCATATCCACTGGGGTGATAAGAACCAGTAGGAACAGAGGCCTTCTGCTTAAAGAGACTGAATTAAACAAGGTTGCACTTACCTGTAACTGTTGTTCATCGAGTGGTCTTCTGTGCAGGCACACATGGGATCTGCGCAGACGCAGGCCAGCCACGGAAAAGATTTGCAAGCTTTCTAATAGACTAGGAGTGCCCCTCCTCCCTCTGGCGCTTTCCCGCCAAAACGCTCACATGACCAGGAGGAAGGGCACTACTCCCTCAGTTCTCTCCATGCCGCCACCGGAGACCCCTAGAAAACTAAAGTTCCAGAGAGTTCACAGCGGGGCAGGAGGGAGGGATGTGTGCCTGCACAGAAGACCACTCGATGAACAACAGTTACAGGTAAGTGCAACCTTGTTTTCATCATCGTGGCTTCTGTGCAGTCCCACATGGGAAGATTAGCAAGATCACTGAGTGAAGGAGGTGGGTGTGAAACTCTCAGAAGGAGACCACCGAGGG